AATTACTTTTATTCATTTATATTTTACATTCTTTAATGGCATCAACACTAAATAACAGGGTTTAAATAAAAAACCGTTGTTACACTTTCAAACGTCTTTTTTTGTATGGCATTCCTTTTTAAACTTTTAATTCCAACTAAATAAAAATTGCAAAAGTATAGGGGAAAAAAAAAGTATGCATTATAAAAATAATGCTACAGTTTCATAATATAAAATTATACCATAAAATTAAAACAGTTTAAGACAAGCGTTTTATAATATAACTGCAATATGATTTAAATATGTTGAAGTTTCTTTAGATAATTAAATTAAAATTACTTTTTTTATAAGAAACTTAGGTAAATAGTGACCTATAACTAAGGTATATCGTTAGGTAAATAGTGACTATAACTAGTACGTCAACATAAGAGTGCTTGTAAAGTTACTCCCCTTTTCATTTACCGGCTGTATTAAATCACTGATAAACCGGGTAATTGGGGTTAATTTTTGAATCTAATTAGAACTACACATATATAGTAAAGCAGTACTTTTTTAATTGAGTAAAATTGTTTTTTTAACAACTTTTTAAAAAAAAGTTATCCGATAACTTATTTGCTGATAAAGATCTAATTTTTGTTCACAAAAGACCCACGTAGTATTTTATGTCATAAACAGAGTTTCACGTAAACTTAACGCTATTTAACTATTGTTTTATCAACGCCATACAGACAATGAAAACAATGCGCACAACAACTATTCACAGTCAGTGGCATACCAACATGTTTTTGGGCCTAGGGCGGCACTTGGTAAATGGGGCCTATATACATATATATATATATATATATATATATATATATATATATATATATATATATATATATATATATATATATATATATATATATATATATATATAAAGACTACATTAATGAATGTATGTATAACACATTATCTTTCTCCACTTTCTTGAAAACGTTTGTAATGAAAATTAGCAAATACCATCTTAATCATTATCTATCAGTTTATATGTTTATATATATATATATATATATATATATATATATATATATATATATATATATATATATATATATATATATATTTATATATATCCATTAACGCCATTATATCACTTATAGAAATTCATTTATCTACACAAATGACTAAAACATTAGTTTTGATTATTTATTTTTAATGATATTACAATGATGTACAATGTACAGTAAAAAAAAGCAGATATACAGCAAAGAGTTACCTCTAGATACACATTAAAATGCTTTCTTGCGAGCCTTGACTTCTGCAAGTCGTTTGATTAACTCATCAAATTTCACATGTTTTGCAATTTCGTTTTCTACTAATACTATGGCCAAGCTCGTCAAACGAGACTGGCTCGTTGCATAGCGGGGTTTTTAATTAATTTCAATTTTGAAAAGCTCTTCTCACAAGAAGCCACGGACACACATATAGTTAGAAACAGTTTAAGTGCTTCAGTCACGTTTGGCAACGAATCACGAAAGTCCATTTCGATGATAAACTGAAGCATTTTCAAGGATGTCCATGCAGCTGCAATGTCTAATTTTATGCCAGAAGCCTTCGATTGCCTCTCAGCCTCTTTACTTCAGGCAGCATTTCTTCCTCCTCTACATCATTGAAAGTTTCTGAAAACTGATGGGCATAGGTTACAATTTCTTCATCAGTTGCCTTCAAATGATTACCTGTGTGTACAACAGCAAACTTTTCATACACAATGATCATTGAGGTCAAACGTTTTTCTAATTCTAAATGAAAGTGGTCAATGCACTCGAACATAGCACGCTTCAATTCTTCCTGTGGAGTTAAACCTGCATCTTTAGCAATTTCTCCTGGCATCATCTTTTTCACTCGCTTGCGTTTTCTGCTTTCAATATCAATGCCCATTTCAACGCAAGTCTGGCTCGCATATTCTACAGCATTATGGACCAGAACTTCTCGACTCCCTACTGAAAAGGTCTTCAAGCTTTTCAGCTTCACAACACACTTTTCCAAGCTAATACCTTTGATTTGAAGATTATTTTGGGCATGATTCACCTCGAGTAGAATGTGGTACCACAAATGCAAGAAGCAAAGGAAATTGAAATTACAAATGTTTGTCATCAACACCTCCGCTGCTCCTCTCGTATCAAGGTTTTCAGAAGCATCACAAACTTTTCCACAGCCTTTACCAACTTTTCAAAATGTTTGAAGATTGGTTTCACGGCATCGTGGTGAGTACTTCACCTGGTATCATTAAGTATCTTCACTGTCACTCCAACGGCTCTTTTAGGACCTCCCATCTATGTGTTGAACATTAAAAAAAACGTGTACACACTTTCCAAAGTTCCAAAAATTGTGACAAAAAAAAACACTATTTAATCCAAAAGCAATATTTGTGCACAAGGCACAAATATTGAATTAAAGAATTTATTCCAAAAGCAATATTTGTGCACAAGGGACAAATATTGCTTTTGGATTAAATTCTTTAATTCTGGTTTGTACTCCTGTATGAATGCCAGACATTATCGTGGCATTATTGTATCCTTGGGTTCGACAAATCTTTAAATCCAAGCCGTCCTTTTCAAGAAATTGAACAATTTTCTGTGTTATGAAGTCTGCCTTTTTCCCACTTAGAGAAATAAAACCTAGAAATGATTCTTTCACTTCCACGTTTCTGTTGTCAATTTTCACATACCTTATGACCTGACTCATTTGTTCAGTGTGGGATATATCTGGCGTGCTGTCAAACAATATGCCATAAAATTTAGCTTTCTTGATTTCACAGATTGATTCTTGTTTTACAGCATCGCCTAAAAGAGATATAAACTCATTTTGCACGGTTTTGTTTTGGAGAAGCCTTGCTTCAAGTGTTTTCCATTTTTCTAAATTGTTAATATGCAACTCGTAATCTGATACTTAAGGATTTAATTTCCACCAACTATTGAACCCTGTAATGAAACTTGATTTGATCGTTGGATTATCGTTCTTATCAAACAACTTGCAACAAAAGCAAAACAGTGATTTTTTTATGAGAATAGACCATCGCTTTCCTCAAAATCTGTTCTCCACTTGGAAGCTTCTTGTAAAACCAGCTTTTTGTCAGATGTCTAGTTTGACCCTTTGAACTTTCTCCTGGTTTATGAACTGGATCAAATGGCCCCTCCAAGTTCTGGTAAATTTCATTGCCTTGTTATATAACATCACTTCTAAGAAAATCTGGCATTGGAGTGGGCCAGTTTCCAACATCATAATTTAATGTTAAGTCTTCTGATTCGCGTACTGAATTTGCGTCTGGTTCAGAACGTATCGAATTGGTTATGTCTTCTTCTTCTTGCCTTTTGTATTGTTCTTCTTCTCCTTTTTCTTGTTCTTCATTGCTTGTTTGTTCATTCCATTTGCCATAACTTGTACTTGGGCCTTCTAAAGATTCAGGCCCCTCCTCTGGCTCTGCTTCATTGTTAGCCTGGGATAGTGCCCTTTTAGTAAATTTAAGTATTGAACCCGACAACCGTTGTAGTTCTTGTTCTTTAGCTTTTGGTTTTTCTTTTTTTCCCATCCACTGGGATAGTTTCATTTCATGTTATCAACAGGTCTCTTGACTCTGAAAATAATTGTTCTGTTTTAGACAAATAATCTCTTGACTCTGAAAATAATTGTTCTATTTTAGACAAAAAAGTATTTAGAAAATAAAACAAACCTTCGCGTTATGGGTTTGAAAACGAACCAAACCTAATAAATAAACACTGTAAAAACTGTCAAGTTGTGAATTACATTTTTCGGCTATTTTCTTAGAAAAATTTCAGTATAACTAACAGTATAACTAATGATGTTTTCACTTCGGTTGTTAGTAGATATCTATTTAAAGTAAAATGTGCGCACATGAAAATGTAAAATTTCTGGTTTTAAAATTCCATTGTTCTATCGTTGTAGGTTTTCAATGGCCTATTGTTCTATTTACGCATCAAAGCTTCGCATGTCTCCACGAATAAAGTTAGGTAATTCTTAAGGTGTGTTTAATATCGTTTTTCATTGGAATTATTTTTTGTTATTATTCGTGGTTTTACTTGAGAGACAGGTTGGCAGAGATTGGCTGTCTCCACGGGAGTTGTTTTTTCAAGAATTTTCTTGAGGAAATTGTTTAATTGCCTATTATTGCTTATGCTTTAACGAGTATTTTCAGAGCAGCTGTTCAAAGGAGAGTTTAGATGTTCTCATCGTATATTATTGTGCCTCTAATTTAGTTAGTTGTGTGTTTTCTGTTTTGACGTATATTATATTTAATATATTATTTTTTACATATATTATATTTATTATATTTACAACTATTATTGTGTTTATTGTATTTATTATATAAATTATATTAATTATATTAAATTATTAATTATATTTATTATATTTATTATATTCATTATATTTATTATATTTATTAAATTTATTACGATAATTATATTTATTATAATTATTATACTTATTATATATACAATATTTATTATATTTATTATAATTATTATATTTGTTTTAATTATTGTATTTATATGTTTATTAATGTTCACAAATAAGTTAGCTATTAATTGAATTTATGAACCATAAGAATAATATGGGGATTTAAAAAAAATCGATTTTAATTTTAATGTTTTCGGAGTCTAGGGCCCCCAAGATGAATGTTATCATGGTCTCGGGCTTAAATTTGTCCATGCCACCTATGGTAGTAGTTCCTTTCATATGGGAAGTTCGCTAGGACTATCAAACAATATCAAAACTAAATGTTTTCGTACTACTGATGAAAATTATTGTTTACCAAAATAGGCTGGGGCTACTCATTTTTAAGGTCAAAATTAGTTATTATAAACCAAGTAATTATATTGACATAACGGAGTGTTTAAGGACAGGCCCCTTATGTGGCTTCAACATAAAACGACGTGTGACGTGTGTAAAATTATAACCTGGTAACTAAAATCTTCTCACGCAGCCTTGTTAGGCCTATATGCAGGAATAAAATTATAACTTACCATGTAACTTGGTGATGACGAACTGAAGACGCGATTTGCTCTCGAATTATTGAGGTACTGAATGGTAGAGTATATTATTCACATTAACGAAACAACATAAACATCCGTCAGTTTGCCTGAACCATCATTAACCATAGATTCGTAGGTAGAACGGGTGAATCTATTTATTAGTACTCGCGGGTGTAGGGGAGAAAGCTTTGCGTAGGGCCTCCAAAACAGTCACGGTGGTTGTTATTGGCCAAGATGTCATTTCAATTTCTTACATCTTGGTTTGTTTGCTGTGGATGTTTATTATCTTGGCAAGCAGATACGATCATGTTTCAGGTTCATTTTTGTTGTAAACAATTAGGATTACAGAACAAAAATGTTGACTATTACAGAATCCGGCTGAAGTAAAAAAAATATAAATTGTATTAAAATTTCGAGGCCTACTCCTAGGCGGGGCCTGGGGCGGACCGCCTTCCCCGCCCCACCCTCGGTACGCTACTGCTCACAGTCAATAACAACAACTCGACGCAATCCACTGCTGAACAAAACGTTTCAACACACTTGTCTAATAAACAAGTAAATAAAATGAAGATTGCAATACTTCTACATTCAATGTAATCAGTAAGAAAATGAAATTAAAATAAAAACACAAGAAAACCCTAAAAACTTTTTTATATGTTAAAATAAATTATTTAATGTTCAATCTATTCATCAGCTAGTATTGCTCATGTCACTCATAACTCAATTAAAGTGTTCTTTTTCCACCTTGTTCAAGTTTCAGTTACTATTTTTGGGAGTTTCAAATTCAAGTTTCAATTTTTATTTTTTGGACTTTATTCAAAACTCAACAAGATATTTTGGGTTTTCTATATAACTTAGCAACCCAAAATATTATAAATGGTATTTTCGGTTTTAAAATCTCTGCGACATGAACTCGATGAAACTCGAACAGTTAGCAAAAACTTACAAGTATAAGCTTTTAGTTTTAAAACTTTACGCGTTAAAATTTGAAAATGAAACTAAAACTTTTATTTAAGCGTTTTTAGATACACCTAGTAATAAAACTTTAAATAAAAATGAATAAAACTCACCAACAGGGAAAATATAGACATTGAAGTTTCCGATGGATCCATCCTGGACTTCATACCATGAATCTCCAGAGTATACGTTGACATCTGTAAATACTTGTGCGTTTAAGTATTCTAACTCATATACTTTTTTAAAATAATTTAATATATAAAAAACTCTTTCCAAAACCAGGCACTTGACCTATTTGAACTACTATCCACTGGTCCAGTAAAAGTGGCTTGGAATAAAAAAATTCATTTTTATTACCACTTATTGCAAAAGCAACGTGCAACTTTTGTTCATAAATCTAAACACCAGGAATTCGATCACCGTATTTTACATTATCCTCTCCTATAGTCAAATGAATAACACTTTAATGACCGTCTGAAAAAATTGAAATTGACAAAAAATAATTTTTCTAATTTTGGCAACATCGCAACCAAGTTATTTTTCTTCAGTGATTTTTCAACTTTATTTAACTCTAACGTAAAAAAAAAAAAAATTTTGTAACAATTTTAAAAATTGAATAAAGAATAAACAAAAGATGCTGACTTTCTTACAAATATTTTTATTTGCTATATTTATTGGCTACTGTTATTTCCAACTGGTAAATGTGGTTTCTCTCAAAATTTATTATTACAGGTATTTATAAGTATGATATATTGTTATAGATTATTTAAAATTATTTAGTTAGAAAATTACTATTCGTAAGAACAAAAATAAAACTCACCGTTGCGTCAATTATTTTTAAAATGAGCGTGAATAAATAAGCAGCCCGTTTGCAAAACGTACTAAGTGTAAGTAAACTGATTTTCAAAAAACAACGAAAAACTAAGCTACTTCTATTTGCGCATCTAAAATTGATTTTTTTTTTTTTTGTTTATTTTTAGGACCAAAAGTTTTTGAATTGGTCTACTATTTAAAAATATAATAGATTTTAAAATATAAAATTAGAAATGAATTTAACTTAATATTTTTATTTTTCTGACTCAGCTTGTTCTAAAAATAAGTATCTAAACCATGTGTAACCACGGATAGTAAAACAACACCAAGTATTACTTTCTAAAAAAGTCGTCACTCACAAATTAAGCTGTTTTTAAGTAAAACCTTATTTCAAAAAAAATAGTCAAAAACTTAAAGAAAAAAAATAAATTTTTCAATACCGTTATTTGTACCATTATTTGAATCGCAATGTTTCGCTTCTTTCAGCAAATCTGCATAGATTGATGAAATAGCACATCTTTATATACAGGACAAAGTTACTGGCGTGTGAAATAATAAATATTATTAACAATGGTTTTTTAAATTAAAATTTGATTTTATCTTAAGTTTTATTGTTAAGAATTATTTTAATCACCGTTGACGTTAATTCTTAAATGATAAAATCACATTTTGCATAGATTTTTGCAAGTCATTTTAATTATCTGATTTTATGATACGATTTAACATTTATTATAAACAAGTTGAGAGCTTATAATGTGCTATGTTATAATTAAAACTTCACAGCATTTGTTACAATGAGATCCAAATTTTTCTCAAATTTTGTCCTCAAAACTTAAATGTATGTTTCCTAATTGTTCGTTAATTTGTTATCTTTATATGATACTCTAATTTTTCAATTAATTTTTTTTTTTTTTATCTCATTTTGTCTTTTGTTAAAAATTGCACAAAAAAAGTTACAATAATATCCTGGCGGAGCAAAAAAATAAAATCCTGGCAAAGCAGAAGACAGACTTGTCTAATCACCGATTAAAAACGTAAAACAAAAAAAGAAAATAATTAGGAAAAAATGTTATAATAATAAATGACTTATTTAATTCAAAACTTTTTTAAATGTTTTTAAAAAAAATATTTGTTATATAGTATATCGAAATTCGTGTTTTGTGAATGCTGTTTTGAATCACTGACTATGCAATTAGAACAAAAGCTCTTATATACAGTAAAGACTATATAATTGAAAAATATACGATATAAATTGACAATGATATATAATGATATACTAACGAAAAGGAACATTAACAACTTAACACCAATCTCATAGATCTACTTCAAAAGAAAGGCAATCAAATTCTTAAATAAATTTTCGAAGAAAACTCAAACAAAAAATTATAGAAAAAAATGTTTTATGCTGCAATAGCTTAAAAAAAAGTTGTTATATACCGCGTAGGAGTACCTATAGAAAAAGTAATCAAACCTGTAAATAGCATTAGTAGATTTCAAGAAGATATATTTAACTTAATTAAATGTTCAACATCCAGAACTGTCCCCATCATACTCAATACCCAAATTTTTGAAGCAGCATGCAAACCGACGCCTTTTTTTAGTCGAATATGCAAATCTAAACGACATCTTTTTTTCGATATCGAAAATGCGTCTTTTTTGTCTTTGATCTTGTCATGAAAAAAAATAAAAAATGCGTCTTTAAGACGTCTTTGTTTATCAATTATGCACTTCTAAATAAGTGTTTTTTCTCAGGGTCGGAACGACTTTTTTGCCATACTTATTAGTATACTATAGTATGCTATACACTATAGTATTCTTACTTTTCTTATATGAAAAATTATTTTTTTCTAATGAAAATGATAATAGCTCTTCATACAAAATATGACAATAAGCTTCTTCCGATGCCGAGAAAATACCTCTTTTAGATGGCAATATAAAAGAGGAAGCATTTTCTACATCTTTTGTATGTTTAAATATAGGAGAATAATTTATAAATAAAACAATAGTATTGTTCAACAGAAAATTTTTTCATCTTTCTCTTTCTTTTCTGTTTCTTTAGCGAGCTCTGTTCCTTGGCGTTGTTAAATAAAATTAACAATTTCACGTCGAGAAATCCTTTCATACGAGCAGGTTACGACTTCTAGCTGGTTGCCACTTCTAATAAAAGAGTGAACATAAAAAGCAGTCTATTGCTTAAATGTAATACAAAAAAAACAAACGAAACTTGATTAGCTGAGTGGAGCACATACTTATCGACTATTAATTCAAAAAGGGCTGATCCTTTTAATCCACTCATGTTTCCAGCGCGGTCCCTTCTTTTTGAACCCACTAGGTTAGATTGGGACAAGAGTCAAACGGTAAACAGTCTTAAAAAATATAAAAATGAGTGTGCTAAATAAATTTACAACCATCAAAAATGACTGTGCAACGATGTATTTTATTATGTAGTACTTAAATCAAGCTAAACACTTGCTCCTCTCAGATTTGCTATGAAAGCCAATGTTAAAAGTATTTTATTATATACGGCTTTTTGTTATTTATTACCGGTTTTATCTGGTTTTTCTTGATTATTCAATTTTTGGATTGTAAAAGTTTTTTGTTACGGATATTAGTTAGTTAACACGAGGTAAACTTTTTAGTTTTTTAACACGTTTTAACAAGGGTTTTAGCTCGTGTTAACTAACTTTTAAAGTTAGTTAACACGAGCTAAAACCCTTCTTAATTAATGTCTTTATAATAATTAATTTTTTTTTTTACAGCCAAGTTATTGAAAACAGATATTGAAATTTTCCTGTCTTCTATAACATAACTTTTTAATTGAATTGCGCTGAAGTTAAGTGTTGTAGACTCTTAATAATTTAAAAATCCGTTATTGACTAAAGACTATCAAAACAAAAAGATAATTCAGCTAGCATACCTTGAGAGTTGTTATTCATTTAAACTGGAAAAAAGTATTAGTCAAAGCTCTATTTTAGCCTGAAACATAAGGATGCTTTACTTAACAACATAAAATCATAAAAACTGGCGATAACATTAGCAACTCAGATGAAATACACATAAACAAAAATGAAGACTAGAAAGCTGCAATGATGAAAAACTAGAAAGCTGCATTTCCACTTGGTTTTTTGATTCCAAACCAAAAATTTTGCGAACAGTTCTAAAGATAAATCTGTTGTCATTATGTGTATTTTTATAATTGCTTTGTTAATGACAGACAACAGTTAACAAGGAAATAACAGATTTAACATAAAAGTTAAAGAGCCAATCTTTTGTATAAGCAGTTTCATCATTCAGCTAAATAAAAACAACAAAATTATTCAAATCATTTTAAAATATATTTAAAAAAAATTGCAAGTCTACTGAATGCTTCTTTTTTTCTATCGTTCGTTTCACTGGCACTTGAACAAGTAAATATCGAGAGAAACTGTTTACAGGTTTTATTTTTTGTCTGAAAATAAATATTTTAATTTAATATGTAATGAACAACGTTCTTCAAGCACAATACATTAAAAAATTAGTCTAAAAATAAACAGTAATAGTTTAAACTTTTTAAAACACTTACCTGCGAGTAACTTAATTGAGACTAAATCATATCAATACCATCTTACTGGCACCACGCCATCCACTTTTGCTTCTTCCGATTAATATTTTTTAGCTAAACAGCTGCAATTATATATTTATTTCAATATATATATATATATATATATATATATATATATATATATATATATATATATATATATATATATATATATATATATATATACACACTCTAAAAAATGTTTTGTTAAAACAACACAAGCTTGTGTGTTCCGCAACACAAAACTTTTGTCATATATGAACAACACAAGACGATGTTAATTTAACATAATGCCTTGTGTTAAACAAAAAACACAAGGCATTGTGTAGAAATTTATGCGTAATCTTGCAGTTAATCGCAAAGTTAGTTTTTTGTTTATTTTTACTCATAAAACACGTTTTAAAACATGTTACAAAACAATGTTGAACTAAATGACTAAAAAAAGTCGCGACGATTTTTAATTAAAACTTAAATTATAGAGGAGGTATGCTTTCATTTTATTGAAAGTTTGTTATTAAATAGAATACAAAAGTATGTTTAATAATTTCATTTTATCATCTGAACCAAATTTACATCATATATTAGTATATACTTTATCCATTTATTTTAAATATTATGTTATGTTTGTAGTTTGAAATATATTTTTAAAATTTACTGAAAATATCGTGCATATTTTTAATTTATAGTTTCACATAAAAGATTTGCAGTAAAAAAAAATTTCAAAGAAGAATATAAAGGCTAAAATTACTAAAATGTCCTAAATTACTGTCTAAAATTTGTCAGCATCAGTTTGAGGCTTTATTGTTTCTGAATATACTACATATGAGATATCTCTTCGAATAATTTACGTGCTTTAGTGGACACAACAGAACCAGGCAGTTTATAAACTAATTCTTGAAAGAAATTGTATAAAATTTGTAGTTGCTTTGGATATTCAAGATTAAATACAAAAAACGACTTGAAAGACAGTCAAAGGCAACAGAAACTTTCGAAGGTTTAACTATAATTGCTTTTCCATCGCATACAACAAAAAAAGACGATCCACACGACAAAATGAACGGTTGCTGTTTTGGATTTTAGCGATTAAGGAACATCTCGAGTGTCTCGCCGTCCTGAAAAAAAAAGTATGCAATTCTTTCAAGTTTGAAGTAAATCTAATCGAACAAAAATTAAACACAAGTAAAATAACGAGATAAAGAAGATTGAACAGTTGTTAGTATAATTAAAAAAATGTTAAAATATAATAAAATATTAGGTACCATCTTTTTTGGACCACATGACTTGGTACATGCAATGGGAGTTATCACAGATGTTTCTATTGAGCATCATAAAGTAAATCATATAACAAACTGTTACTATTTGCATGTCGCATCAAAATGACAAAAAATGAAATTTGTGTACTAAAAATAAATTGTATTAACATACCAATAAGGTCCACATTTTGTGAATGAACAGGCTTAGAATTTGAAGTTGCTAAAGCTGCTTCTAATTTACGTCTCTTAAGAGGAGGTAGTACATTAGGCAGGTCTGTTTCAACGTTTAAAAACAGCAAATCTTCCATTGAACTAGCACCTAGCTCTACCAAATGAGGCAGGAGACGATTAATATCCTCCACTGGAAGAACTTTACTTAAGAAGTTGTTAATTTCCTCCATTATTATAAAAAAACTTTACTAAAGGTAAGAAAATCAATAAGCATTACCCATGTTTGAACAAAAATTGCCTATTTACATTATTAACTTAAATACATAATTTCAAGATAAATTATTATATAAAGTCTGGCATGTACTTTACACCATCTGTGATTACATAATTTGCACAAAAACATTCTTTATACAGTGGAATTTCACCAAAAACAGCCACTGACAAAGGTAAGCAAGCAGGCATAATTTCAATACCAGGACCTTCTTCTGCACTGAGTATACTTGCAAAATTTGACAAATCAAGATCCTAAGGATCAAAAACTAAAGTTCACAAAGTTTGTGCAGTTTATTTGTCCATCAAAAATGTTAACATAAAGAAATGTGTCTTACTGTTTCAAAATCATCACAGTATAGTTAAAGCTGAAGAGCATCTGGATGTTTCTTGTAAAAAGGATGATTCTTATATTGTTCTGCATCACTATAACAAGTTAATTTATTTAATTTTGTTAAAACGTTACTATCTATTTTGTCAACGGAGTACTTTGAAATCACCATAGAAATGGTTTCTAGAATAGGAATATACTGCATAGTTTCATTTCGATAACTCATTGCATTATTTTTATAAACTTTATGAAGCATCTCAGATTTGCATCTCACCTATTGAAATAACTGTTGGGTTCAGCCCAACAGTTATTTCAATAGGTGCAACCATCCCTTTTTGTTTTAAGTGTTTTCTTTGCAGGTAACTAGATGTAATTAAACTACACTTTACACACTCACATTCAATATCATTTAGGACATCACTTACTCTGCCAGCATCTGTTTCATCATTTTGAATTGTTTTTTGTACACTTTCAATAACTGTGGATAAAATATTTTGAATACTTTTACCTACATACTGAATTATAACTTCACTTGTGTTACGACATCTTAGAGTCATTAAAACATCTAAAATCATTTCTTTTATCTTTTCCCCATTTAATTCACTTGAAAAAATAGTATTTCTTTATCTTTATCAATATGTGCTGCTGTATAAATACCTAGCTGATCCATTAGCTCACCATTGCTTTCCATAGGAGAAATATTTATATCGTTATATTCCAAATGAGGGTCAATTGGATGCTTTCTATATAAATGAATTTTAAGGGAATGACACTGTCATATGTTCTGCAACAGCCACCTTGTCTACAAGAAATTTTACAATTTTGTGTTGAAGTAATACCATGGCGATAATGAAAATGTTTTAAAAGATCACTTACAGTCTTCAATGATACTAAAATAGACTCACAAAAAACACAAAAATAACCCATTGTTAATACTTAACAGTGATGAAAAAAATTTTAAGTAATTAACTACAAACTAAAAATTATTAATCTTGATTCAAAAAAGCTGTCCTAACATTTTTAAAAATCTATTTGAAATAGTACAAATTCCATGAGGTGTTACGCATGCGTATCTTGAGAATTCCTCTACACAAGTCTTGTGTTGGCAAGAAAAAAACAAATAATTTTTGTTTGCAGGTAACGCATGCGCTTTTGAATGATATTTTTATAATTTAACACAAACTTGTGTTTAACGGAAGCAACCCAAGATCAAGTGTTGATTTTCAACACAAGGTTTTTTACAGTGTATATATATATATATATATATATATATATATATATATATATATATATATATATATATATATATATATATATATATATATATATATATATATATATATATATATATATATATATATATATATATAGGGCCGCCGAGAGCTTTTATGGCGCCCGGGGCATAGCGTCGAGTAGGCGCCCCTTTAAAGATAAATTATTTAAAAAACTTTATCAAATGCAATCTTGCATATGAGTGCACATGGTTTTAAAATGAATTTTCTTAATTTTGGTTTATTCCTGTTAAAATCATTTTACGGCAATATTTTCAAACATTGCGTCTTTAAAAAAATACTACTAAGCAACGCAAATACAACATAAATGCCTTATTAGACATTCTTTAGAAATTCAAATAAAAAAAAACGGCTTATATAAAACACTCTTTTCTTGCTTTTTTAACAGCAAAGTTTGTTATTATATTATCATATGACAGAGTCTTAGCTAACTCATTTTCGACTGAAAGCAACAATTTATTAATTTAAGTTTACTGAAGGATCGCTCACCCTTTGCAATAGATACTGGCATTGTATTAAAAATTCGAATTAAAATAAATACATATGGAAAAATAGGCTGCAGACTCTTTGAATGTTTTTGGTTGAGAAAGCTCAATGAATTTCCAGGAACAAAAAAAGAAGACTCCTCTAAACGATTAAGATGCAAAATTACTTGTATGAAGTTGTCTTCTTTGACATCATTAGCGTAGAACTGTGCTAATTCACGAGCTTTTATCTCTTAAGAATCTGGTTCTTGGTCTTTCAACCAGATGAATAAGAATCTTGAAGAAACACTCTTTACTACGTCAAATCTTGACTGAACTTAATAAATAAAATGATCAAGAGCAACGTTGAAGATGTTTACCTCAAACTGATGCTCGGGGCTCTCATAGCAGAAAGCTGCATTCGTAAGTTCATTGTAATACCGTTTTGCTCTCTTCTTTCGTTTAGTCAAAAGTTCCGTTTCAAAGCCTAGAGGACCTGCAACAGCTTTTTCTTCAGTCAAAATATTATTCCATGATGAGCGGATACGGCCAAGATCGCTTATTAGCTGTTGAATTAGAATAACTCCGTCAACTATTGTTAGTGAAGTTGACTGGAACAAACGGCTTACTACATCTGCTACTTAAAGAACTTTATAACAAAAGGTCAGAAGTACAACAGTTTCAAAGGATTTAAAAAATTTTATCAAAGACTTAGCTTGATTTAGCATGTCAGCAGTAAGGTCAAGATCCTCTATAGTACGATTAAGGGCAGTAGTTATTTCTCGTGGTCGTTTTGTTATTGGCTTAAAAGCGGCAATCCGAGCTGACCATCTGGTATCGGAAAGTTTGTGAAGAGAGATTCCAGTCAATTCTTGCAAAAACTTTCACCTAGCTGGACTGCAGCTGAAAAACACGTAGAGAGCTTTGATATTACGAAAGAAAGTCTTCATCTCAGTACAAGATTCAACTGCATGTACTCCAGCTAAATTATGACTATGGGCACCACAATGAATGTAGAGAGCTAATGGATTTTTCTGCAAAATTAAAGCTCCAACGTAAATTCCAGGCATATTTGAGCCGCTATCGTAACCTTGGCCACGGCATTTATGCAAGTCAAGACTTACTTTTATTAAAACATCACTAAATAGTTTTGCAATATCCACTCCTTTTTTTTCTCCGTGTCTTCAACGCAAAGAAAGCAATATTTTACCTCCCAGCTTTTTTTGTTGAAGCTGAAATGAACAAAGCGAAGAACAAAAGTAATCAGTTTAGTGTGTGAAACGTCTGGGGTTCCATCGTAAAGACTGTAAAGTATCCAGCTTCTCTGACTTCCTTTAAAAGGTCACACTGAACCAATGAAGTACACTCACGTATGAACTCATTAAGTGATTCCCATGAGAGATAGTGTGCCTGTATTTGATTTTCTCTTTTTGGTGAAAAGCTAAGTTTTCTAGATGGATTTTTAACGTTTTGTAGTTTTGTAACATTTTTTATTTACTACTTTCGAACATTTTTTTTTTTTTAGCTTGTGTTATGTTTTTATTTGTTTTTGTTTTTTTAGTCTATACTTATTTAAATCTTTTAACCTTGTTTTAAATTTACTTTTTTTAATTTTAATATCTATAAAATAATTTTTCAATTTGCTATTGTTTCGCAGTGGAAACTATTAAAGTTCGACCACTGATATGGAACCATCAGGCCGTAAGAGTCTTAAGAGAAGAAAGAAATATATTATATAAGTGCAAGGGAGTGCTAGATAAATTATAATATTTGGACAGATGTCCAGTATTAAGAGGTGGTGTTAAAGAAGGGAGTATTATTCACTAGTTAAGTTAGAGTTAAGTAAGTGTTCTTTAAGTTAGGTTTAAGTAAGTGTTGTTTCAGTGTTCTGTAAGTTTGTGTTAATTATTGTGCTTTGTGTTTGTGGTGTTCTAAATGTTCAAGTTTAATATGTGAATTAATGTCTTTCTTTGTATGAATCTGTATTTTCGTAAATATTTTAATTTTCCGTCTTATTTAATTTTGATGTTATTATGTTCTTTGTGATCGTAATCTTTGTTAAAAGCACTTTATAAGATATGTTTTAACATATGTTGATAGAACATATGAGAGTGTGGAGTTTGTTGCTATTTTTGTAAGAACTATGTGCGGGGTGCAGTACAATTATAGCAACACAGTTTGGCTCAGTGGTGTTGGTTCGGGGCAGTATGATGCTTGTTAGGTAAACCAATAAGTTTCTTATATTATTTATAGAGAGACTTATGTATATCTAGAATATTATATATATCGTGTATAATATATCCGATATGCATAGTATGTATGCTATAAAGCTTTAGTGATTACCATCGTAAATTGGAGGTAATAAATTAGTAGTAAATTAGTAGTACAAATTATTGTAGTATAAAAGTAAAACAAGTTGAGGGGAAGGTGCTGCGCGAGTGGAGTTCGGGGTTGAGGTCATCATAATGGTCGAAAGTTGTGGCATGTGACAAACCTTCATCTCGTCAGGGCCACGTCGGAATGTCTAAGCTTGTTTCGAAGAAGTTAAAGTACTAAAACAACTCCTGGCCTACAGCTTAGTTACCACGTGAGGTTTAGATATGTGATGAACTCATACCCGAGGAGTCTCCCATTTCATCTGGTGTGCGTATCGAGCATTATAAGATCATACAGAATAGTGTAGATCATTATAATATGTTCTAACGCAATTATATAATACTGTGAGAGTTGATTTAGAATCTTAGGGGGTTGGGTACGGGAGAGCTGGTTTAGGCATAGAAGTATGCCTAAACCAGCCTAAACACCCATATAAGAACACAATTCTACATAGGGATGTACCGAAGCTTCGGCTTCGGCTTCGGCGTGCCGAAGCTTCGGCAAAATTGCCGAAGCTTCGGTTCGGCCGAAGCCAGGTCAATTTTTTGCCGAATCTTTGGCTTCGGCAAA